GGGGGGGGCGGGCGGGCGCCGCGCCGGTGCCGCGCCGAAATCCGAAGAGAATTCTGGGTACAGCCCTGAGATGTAGAGGGTCTGTGCACTTGCTGATGCTAGCAGGAATGTAATTTCGTAATGTCCCGGATCCCCAGTTTCTTGTTGCTGCTGCAACCAGAATTGCAATTTCGTAATGACCCGGATCCCCGATGTCCTAAGCGTTTTGTGGCGCTCGTGTGTTACTTCGCGAGGGCGGAAAGAATATGGGCGGGGCGGAAGGAAACCATGCGGAGAAGGCACCGCTGAGGCCGCGGGGAACACTGGGGGGAAGGGGCGAAAGGGGCGCACTGGGGCAGGAAAGACATTGGCCGGGCACTGGGGCCGCGGGGCACTGGACGGGCGCTGGAACCGTGGGGGCGCTGAGACGGTGTCCGGGAAGGGGCGGGGCAGGGAGGGGCTGCGGTGCCGAAATAAAGTGGTCGGGGCGGAGGGGGCGCTGGGCGAGCGCTGGGGCCGTGGGGGGCGCTGAGACGGTGGGGGAGGGGGCGGAGGATGGGGGGGGAGAAAGTTGGGGGAGGGGGCGGACGATGGGGGGGGTTTTGTCGGAGCGGAGGGGGCACTGGGCGGGCGCTCGAGCCGCGGGGGGCAGCACGGTGCGGGGGAGGGTGCGGGGGGGGGGGGACAGGGGGGGCGGGGGGGGGGGGGGGCGGATGCCGAATGAATCGGGTCGGGGCCGGAGGGGGCACTGGCGGCGCTGGGACCGCGGGGGGGCGCTGAGACGGCGCGGGGGAGGACGCGGGGCGGGGGGGGGGTGCGGTGCCGAAAATAAAGTTGCACGGGGCGGAAGGGGGACTGGGCTGGGCGCTGGAGCGCGAGGGGGGGGCTGAGACGGCGCGGGGGAGGTGGGCGAAGCGAGGGAGGGGGGGGTGCGGGCCGAAGTGAAGTGGTCGGGGCGGAGGGGGAGGCGGCGCGGGGCGGGCGCTGGAACCGCGGGGGGGCGCTGAGACGGCGCGGGGGAGGAGGCGGAGCGGGGAGGGGGGGTGCGGTGCCGAAATAAAATGGCCGGGGCGGAGGGGGCACTGGGCGGGCGCTGGAGCCGCGGGGGGGGCGCTGAGACGGCGCGGGGGAGGGGGCGGAGCGGGGGAGGGGGTGCGGTGCCGAAATAAAGTGGTCGGGGCGGAGGGGGCGCTGGGCGGGCGCTGGAGCCGCGGGGGGGCGATGAGACGGCGCGGGGGAGGGGGCGGAGCGGGGGGGGGGGGTGCGGTGCCGAAATAAGTGGTCGGGGCGGGCGGGGAGGGGCACTGGGCGGGCGCTAGAGCGCGGGGGGGGCGCCTGAGACGGCGCGGGGGAGGGGGCGGAGCGGGGGGGGTGGCGGTGCCGAAAATAAAGTGGGCGGGGCGGAGGAGGCGATGGGCGGCGCTGGAGCGCCGGCTCCGGGGGGGGCGCTGAGACGGCCCCGGTTTCTTTTTTCGAGGGGGCGGAACGGGGGGGTGTGCGGTGCCGCAAAATAACAGGTCGGGGACGGAGGGGGCGCTGGCGGGCCTGCTGAGCAGCACACGGGAGGCGCGGAGTGGAGACGCGCGGGGGAGGCGGGCGGAGGCGGGGACGGGGGGGTGCGGTGCCCGAAATAAACGTGGTCGGGCGGAGGGGGCACCGGGGGTCGCTGGAGCCGCGCGGGGCCTGAGACGGCGCGGGGGAGGGGGCGGAGAGGGGGGGGGGGCCGGGCGGAAATAAAGGTGGTCGGGGCGGAGGGGCACTGGGCGGGCGCTGGGGCCGCGCGGGGGCGCTGAGACGGCGCGGGGGAGGGGGCGCTGAGACGGCGCGGGGGAGGGGGCGGAGCGGGGGGGGGTGCGGTGCCGAAATAAAGTGGTCGGGGCGGAGGGGGCACTGGGCGGGCGCTGGAGCCGCGCGGGGGCGCTGAGACGGCGCGGGGGAGGGGGCGGAGCGGGGAGGGGGGATGCGGTGCCGAAATAAAGTTGTCGGGGCGGAGGAGGCACTGGGCGGGCGCTGGAGCCGCGGGGGGGCGCTGAGACGGCGCGGGGGAGGGGGCGGAGCGGGGGGGGGGGTGCGGTGCCGAAATAAAGTGGTCGGGGCGGAGGGGGCACTGGGCGGGCGCTGGAGCCGCGCGGGTGCGCTGAGACGGCGCGGGGGAGGGGGCGGAGCGAGGAGGGGGGCTGCGGTTCCGAAATGAAGTGGTCGGGGCGGAGGGGGCACTGGGCGGGCGCTGGAGCCGCGGGGGGGGCTGCTTGGCGCGGGGGGGGGCGGAGGGAAGCGGAGGGGGGGGGGGTGACGGTGCCGAAATAAAGGGGTCGGGCGGAGGGGCGCTGGGGCGAGCGCCTTAGCCCGCGGGGGGGCGCTGAGACGGCGCGGGGAGGGGGCGGGGGCGGGGCGGGATCATCTTGAGGGAAGAAAGTGGTCAGGGGGATGGGGCGCGGGGAGGGCAGCGCGAGCGACGGGGGTGCGTGAGAAGGAGGGGGGAGGGGGCGGAGAGGGGGGGGGGGCGGTGCCGAAATAACGTGGTCAGGGCGGAGGGGGCGCTGGGCGGGCGCTGGAGCCGGACGGGTGCGCTGAGAGGCGCCGGGGGGGGGACGGGGGGGGCGAGCGGGGAGGGGGTGCGGGGCCGAAATTAAAAGTGTTCGGGCGGAGGGGGCACTGGCGGGCGATGGAGCCGCGCGGGGGCGAGAGACGAGCGGGGGAGGGTGGCGGAGCGGGGGGGCGGGGCGGGGGGGGGGGGGGGGGAAGGGGGCGGGGGGGGGGCTCATTATGGGCCGAAATAAGTGCGAAATTAAGTGGCGGCGCGGAGGGGGGCTGAGAGGGGACCGGGGCGGGGGTGCGGCGTCCGAAATAAAAGTGGAGTCGTGGCGGAGGGGGCACTGGGCGGGCGCTGGAGCCGCGCGGGGGCGCTGAGACGGCGCGGGGGAGGGGGCGGAGCGGGGAGGGGGGGTGCGGTGCCGAAATAAAGTGGTCGGGGCGGAGGAGGCACTGGGCGGGCGCTGGAGCCGCGGGGGGGCGCTGAGACGGCGCGGGGGAGGGGGCGGAGCGGGGGGGGGGGTGCGGTGCCGAAATAAAGTGGTCGGGCGGAGGGGGCACTGGGCGGGCGCTGGAGCCGCGGGGGGGCGCTGAGACGGCGCGGGGGAGGGGGCGGAACGGGGGGGGGTGCGGTGCCGAAATAAAGTGGTCGGGGCGGAGGGGGCACTGGGCGGGCGCTGGAGCCGCGGGAGGGCGCTGAGACGGAGGGGGCGCATGATGATGATGATGATGTGGATGATGATGATGATGATGATGATGATGATGGTGATTATGATGGTGATGATGGTGAGAATGATGGTGGTGATGATGATGATGATGAAGAAGATGATGATGATGATGATGCTGATGTTGATGATGGCGATGATGATGATGAAGGGGGGGGGGGTGCGGTGCCGAAATAAAGTGGTCGGAGCTCTAGACACCCTGTGCAAGAGAATAAGATCTGGGAGATTAAGTTAAGATCTGGAAGATCAAGTGAGCATGATCTACCAGAACTTCCCCACAACGACCAGAACTAGTTATGAGCATCTCAGGGGAGCGTCGGATCCCTGGGTTTGCATAGGACAGCCGCCCGTTCGCCCTTTCGCCTTCCCCGCCCGCCCACCTCCCTGCCCGCCTGCCCGCTCGCCCGACCATCCGGTCTCCCGCCAGCCCGCTCGCACGCGCGTCGGACAGCCCGCCCGCCCGCCCGCCCGCCCGCTCGCCCGCCCACCCGCGCGCATGCCCGCCCGCCCGCGCGCCCGCCCGCCCGCGTGCGACGACGACGACGACGAACACGAAGAACACGACGACGACGATGATGACAACGCGAACGAGGCCGTCGACGACGACGAATAACGTGACGACGACGACGTCGACGACGACGGCGAACGCGACGACGACGAGAAGAACAACGACAAGGACGACGGCGAAGACAAGGGGAACGACGACAAGTCGACGACGACGCCGACTACGACGACAACATCGATGACAACGGCAGCGACAAGGGCGACAGCGACAACCACGACGAGGACGACGCCCACGACGATGACGGCAAAGAAGGGGATGAGGATAAGGATGAGTGGGAAGAGAACACAGAATCGGACGACGATGATGATGTCGACGACGACTACGGGGACGATCGCGACAAGGATGACGAGGAAAGCGACGAATAGGACGAAAAAGAAACGACGACAAAAAAGGACGAAGACGACAACGACGGTGGCGAAAACGAGGGAGACAACGACGAGGAGCGACGACGACAAGGACAAGGACGACGATGACGAGGATGACCACGTCACGTGGCGACGCAGGGGGACGGGAACAGCTACCCTTTTGTACAGCGCAAAAAGGGGACACAAAGAGTATGGTGCTCTACCCATCGCACCATCACGGCTGGGGGATTTTTCTATCTTAGCCACGTGCGTCGAAGGGGGGGATCCCCGACGACAACGACGAGGACGATGACGATAACGACGACGATGACGACAGCGACAACGATGAGGACGAGAAGAAGACGACGGTTGCGTCAACGGGAGACACAGGATGGCGGGAACAACTATCCTGTCCTACCCGGAACATGGCAACTCACGGGGCGGAACGAACAACTATTCTACTCTACTCGTCGCATAGTAGCGGGGAAGGGGGGACATCACAGAACACTTTGCTTGAACCCATCACATGGCGACGCATGTGGGGAAGATTCTTCTCTCTTCGCCACATGCGGTAAAAATTGAGAGGGTACCCCAACGGCGGCGACGATGACGACGACGACCGCGACGACGATGACCACGACAACGACAACGAGGACGACGACGAGGACGACGAAGACGACGACGTCACGACGCAACGCAGGGAGGCGAAACCAACTGTCCTGTTCAACTCGCGGCATGACAACTCAGAAGGGCAGAACAAACAACTATTCTACTCTCCTCGTCACGCGGCAGCGCAAAGGGGACATTCAAGTGCATTATGCTCAAATCCATCACTTGGCAACGACTGGGAGAAATATCCTTCTCTCTTCGCCAAATGCGCTAATGGCGGGTGGATCCCTGACGACGACGCCGACGACGACGACGAGGACGAAGACGGGGATCACGACGATGGAGACGACGGGGACGTCGACAATGACGCCGGCAACGACGACGATGACGACAAGATTTTGCGCAGTTCGGTTACGGGGAAGAAGGAGGGTAGCTTCCGAAGCTAGCCCCCCCCGTGGAAAAGGGGAGCCTGGGCTTACTCTCTTATACAGGGAAGGGGGAGGTAGCTTTGGATGACCCCTCCATGTGGCAGGTGGGCAGGAGCCATATTATTCTACTCGGCTCACCACGTGGAAAACACACAACATGCTGCTCGACTGTTCACATGGCATCCTCTGGGAGGTGAAACGTACAAGTGCATTCCACCCGTCGAGGCAACTCGGGGGGCGGAACAAAGAACTAGTCTAATCTACTCGTCACGCGGCAACGCATGGAGGACAGATTATTCCGCCTTCGCCCCATGCGACAAAGGGGAAGAGTTCCCCGACGACGGCGACGAAAACGACGACGATGCAGAGACGTTGAAGACGACGACGATGATGACGACGACGAGACAAGGGACGACGACGACGACGTCGACAACAACAACAACGACGATGATGACGACGACGAGGACGTCGACGACAACGACGACGACGACGACAAGGACGACCGCGATGACGCGACGACGAGGGCGACGACGTCACGTGGCAACGCAGGGGGGCGGCCACGACTGTCTTATTCTACTCGCAACGTGCCAGCTCAAATGGGGGCTGAACAAACAACTATTCTACTCTACTCGTCACGTTGCGGCGGGGGGGGAGCTCCACAGAGTTATATCTTCGAGCCCGTTACATGGCGACGCCTGGGGGGACATATTACTCTCTCTTCACTCCATGCGGCAAAGGGGGAGGATTCCCCCTCGACGGCGAGGACGACTGTGACGACAAGGACGGCGATGATGAAGAAGACGAGAACGACGACGACAACGACGTCGGCCTGCGACGACGATGATGACAACGACGACAACAACGACGAATCGATTTGGCACAATTCAACATGAGGGGAAGGAGCAGAGATGACGATGACGACGATGACGGCGAGGACGACGACGACGAGATTTAGCGCAGCTCGGTAGGAAGAGGGAGGAGAAGGGTAGCTTCCGAAAGAGCCCCCCTCTGGAAAGGGGAACCTGTGCTTACCCTCTGTTTCCAAAGAGACGGGGGGAGGGGAACAAACAACGTCTACTCGTCACGAGGCAGCGCAGAAAAGGGGGACACCGCAGAGTATTATGCACGAGCCCATCTTATGGCGACGCATGGGGAAAAAACTCTTCTCTCTTCGCCACACGCGGCAAAGGGAAAAGGGTTCCTCCACGACGGTGACGACAACGAAGACGACTGCGACGACGACGACGATGAAGACGACGGTGCCGACAACGACGTCGCCGGCGGCAACAACGATGACGACGAGGTTTTGCGCAGTTCGACAACATGGGAAAAGAAGGGTCGTTTCAGAAGCCATCCCCCCTCTTAAGGGGAGCCTGGGCTTATCCTCTGACTCTAAGGGGAAGGTTGCTTAGGAAGACCCCGACCACGTCGTGGTGGGCGTGCGCAAACTGGAGGTAATGGTACGGCGTCGTGAATACCCATTGTGACCCACGTGCAACACGACTGCGCTACAAACTGCCGGGTGGCACGGATGTGGACATTCCCAACGCGCTGTGGATCGGCATGGGCGCGTGTGGCGGCGCTCGGAGAAAACCTTTTCCGAGGCTGTAGTCTACTCTGCTCGAAACGCGGCCTCGCAAGGGGAGCGGAACAGACGCTGGTCTACTCGACTCCTCATGTGGCAACGCAGGGGTGCGCACAACATGATCTTCTGCTCCCCTTTAAGTGGTATACATCGAGACGACGCAGCAACCACGACACACCTGGAAAGCACATCAACCCCGGGAACAAAACGCCTCAACCGAGAAAACAACGCCCACGCTGCAACCGCAACTTCCAATCTACATCGCTCGCAATTGCCGGGTTCGGCGCGACATCTCCAAGGCTGGCGGGCGTCCCCGGTTTTCCAGGGTTGGGCGGGAAATTCCGAGAGTACAGCTTTTGACTGTTCCGCACTGAAGCCGTCGACTGTGAATCCGTCCAGGCTGCCGTCGGCGATAACGGTTTGTCGACGGCCCGCTGGCTGGGGCGCGAGCCCTGGAAGACGGCTCCTACACAGGGGAACCAGAACCCTGGCCACCTAGGGGCTTGCTACTGCAACGGAGGACTCGATGCGGCCACCTTGCGCTCCCAATGCCAGCTCTACGAGTGCAACACGCCGGGAGCATTCTGCCGTAGGAATTGTCACTGCCGTGTGGTCGTCCTCTCCCAACAGGCCTCCGACCGAAAACGAAGTTCGGCTCAAATGCTTGACATAGAAGTTTAAATACTTGAGGCCACGCTTCGTTTTTCCATGAACAACTTTCAGCTCAACCTGTTCAAAAGCAAGCCATTCCGATGTCTTGGCACCAGGTTCCGATACGGTGTAGCGGTATCCTCCAGCTTGCTGGAACTCTGCCCAAGACCCAGTAACATTCAGTTCTTGGAAGTACATATCCGCGCACCCACCCAGTCGGCGCGCGTAGGCCTGCACGCGAAGCAATGCTCTGTCTGCGCGTTGCCCACGAGGGATGTTTATCAAGACGTGCTGGCCTGGCTTCATCAAATCGAACCGCTGACCATGAACGTTCTGCAAATGGGGATCGCCTTTGCCAGACGGGTCCACCTGTCCGGGCCCACCGGTTCCGCCCGACGTTCCGCCCGACGGGAGCGGGCCAGCCGTCGGGCTGGGCGTCGGGCTAGCCGTCGGCGAGCCGGCCGCCACGGTCGGGCTGGGCGTCGGGCTGGGCGTCGGGGTGCCCGCAGGGGGGCACACCAGGACCAGCTCGTTGTATGAGTTGTCCGGCTCCCGCACGAAGGTGTTGTAGTAGTCGCAGTGGTCGTGCCGCGGGTCCAGCTGACTGGCTGCGCATTTTTGGAAGAACGTGTCTCTGTTGGAGTCCAGAGTGGCGTATGCACCATCCCACTCAGACTGGGTGGCGTAGCGCAACCCCCAAGGGCAGAACCAGTCATAAGTAGAAAGGGCATTGAGTCCAGAGCACCAAACTACACCAGAGCACGGAGAAGCCCAAATGAAACAGATGCCGTTGACGTTGTAGCAATACGGCTCCGCAGGATAAGCACCAGTTCCGCCTGCCGTCGGGTCAAACGTCGGGCTGGGCGTCGGGCTAGCCGTCGGCGAGCCGGCCGCCACGGTCGGGCTGGGCGTCGGGCTGGGCGTCGGGGTGCCCGCAGGGGGGCACACCAGGACCAGCTCGTTGTATGAGTTGTCCGGCTCCCGCACGAAGGTGTTGTAGTAGTCGCAGTGGTCGTGCCGCGGGTCCAGCTGACTGGCTGCGCACTTTTGGAAGAACGTGTCTCTGTTGGAGTCCAGAGTGGCGTATGCACCATCCCACTCAGACTGGGTGGCGTAGCGCAACCCCCAAGGGCAGAACCAGTCATAAGTAGAAAGGGCATTGAGTTCGGAGCACCAAACTACACCAGAGCACGGAGAAGCCCAGAGAAAACAGATGCCGTTGACGTTGTAGCAATACGGCTCCGCAGGATAAGCACCAGTTCCGCCCGCCGTCGGGTCAAACGTCGGGCTAGGCGTCGGGCTAGCCGTCGGCGAGCCGGCCGCCACGGTCGGGCTGGGCGTCGGGCTGGGCGTCGGGGTGCCCGCAGGGGGGCACACCAGGACCAGCTCGTTGTATGAGTTGTCCGGCTCCCGCACGAAGGTGTTGTAGTAGTCGCAGTGGTCGTGCCGCGGGTCCAGCTGACTGGCTGCGCACTTTTGGAAGAACGTGTCTCTGTTGGAGTCCAGAGTGGCGTATGCACCATCCCACTCAGACTGGGTGGCGTAGCGCAACCCCCAAGGGCAGAACCAGTCATAAGTAGAAAGGGCATTGAGTTCGGAGCACCAAACTACACCAGAGCACGGAGAAGCCCAGAGGAAACAAATGCCGTTGACGTTGTAGCAATACGGCTCCGCAGGATAAGCACCAGTTCCGCCCACCGTCGGGTCAAACGTCGGGCTGGGCGTCGGGCTAGCCGTCGGCGAGCCGGCCGCCACGGTCGGGCTGGGCGTCGGGCTGGGCGTCGGGGTGCCCGCAGGGGGGCACACCAGGACCAGCTCGTTGTATGAGTTGTCCGGCTCCCGCACGAAGGTGTTGTAGTAGTCGCAGTGGTCGTGCCGCGGGTCCAGCTGACTGGCTGCGCATTTTTGGAAGAACGTGTCTCTGTTGGAGTCCAGAGTGGCGTATGCACCATCCCACTCAGACTGGGTGGCGTAGCGCAACCCCCAAGGGCAGAACCAGTCATAAGTAGAAAGAGCATTGAGTTCGGAGCACCAAACAACGCCAGAGCACGGAGAAGCCCAGAGGAAGCAGATGCCATTGACGTTGTAGCAATACGGCTCCGCAGGATAAGAAGGGGTGCTCATGTTGGTGCTCATGTTGGTGTCTGTGTTCACGCGCAGCTGGACGGAGATCGCGGTGGGCAAACTGCTTAGGCATAGCACCACCAGCAACACGGAACAGGGCGTCCTGTGGACCAGCATGCTTAAATCCATATACATCAGAAGGTGAACGATCCGCCACCGTGCCTCGAGGTACGAGTTGGAGTGTCCTCAGGTCCATTTGATTTCTCTGTATTGAATATTGCAATACTATGTGAAGTGCGCACAGCCCGGAGTTCTGGACGCTTCAAGGCAACCCCAAAAACGTCCAGCGGATCGCCGCAAGATGCCCAAGATGGCCGCCAGACTGCGAAGAAAGCCCCCATTACGTCCTGTCACAACTCCCAGAGTCCGTCCAAGAAAGAACCAACAATCCAAAACTATTGATTTCCGTACGTCGTCGCTGGATTTAGCGTTCTCGCTTTTTCGGGCTACCCGCCCTCGAAGACGACCAAGAGGACTCAAATATCGCCCCAAGGCGGCCCCCAAGAGGGCACCAAGACAGCCCGCCCAAGAGGCCCCAAAGGCGGCCCAAAGAGGGGCCCAAGAAGGGGAACACTACCTGACACTTCGAGCCCTCCGGCCCAAGATGACCTCAAGAGGCCCGGCCCCCAAGGAGTCCCAGGAGGCCCCCAAGAGGCCCCCAAAAGACCAAAAAGAGGTCCCACGACACCGCAAAAAATTTCTCCCAAGAGGCTTCCGAGAGGCCCCCCGAGAGATCCCATCACATATCCGAGAGGCCTCCAACCTACAACCCAGGCGTGGTGGCGGGATGGGCCGAAGACCACCAGATCCGCCGCCCCCTGTTGATTCATCACTGGGGTGCCTGGCGTGCCAGACGATATGGCTTTTGGTTTTTGTTCTTTTTCCCCAAAAACTCCCCCTGGGGCTTCGGCCCGTCCCGCCAGCCACCCGGAAGACCCGGTTACCAACTGATTTCCTGCCCCAGACGGCCCCAAGATGGCCTCCAAGACGGCCAAGATGCCTCCAAGACGGCCAAGATGGCCTCCAAGACGGCCAAGATGGCCCCAAGATGCCTCGAAGACGGCCCAAGATGTACCCGAGACGCCCTCAGATAGCCTCAGGATGGTCTCAACATGGCCCAAGACGACCCAAGAGGCCTTCAATACGGCCCAAAAGCCTCCAAGAGGTCCTCCAGGAAGGCCCGCAGAGGCCAAAATCATTGATTTTCCTTCGGTTTTTGAAGGATTTTGGGATTTGCTCCTTTTCGGCATTCCGATGGCTCAAGACGGCCCAAGAGGCACTCAAGATCGCCCCAAGATCGCCCACGAGGTCTCCAAGATGGCCCCATGACGGCCCAAGAGGCCCCCAAGACGGCCCCAAGAGGGCCCTAAGAGGCCTCCAAGACGGCCAAGATGGCCTCCAAGACAGCTGAGATGACCTCAAGGCGCCTCCAAGACTGCCCAATATGCACCCAAGACGGCCTAAGATAGCCCCAAGACGGCCCAAGACGGCCCAAGAGGCGCCCAAGAGGCCTCCAAGACGGCCCAGGAGGCCTCCGAGAGGTCCTCCAGGAAGGCCCGAAGAGGCCAACATCATTGATTTCCCTTTAAATTTTGAAGGATTTTGGGATTTGCTCCTTTTCGGCATTCCGACGGCTCAAGACGGCCCAAGAGGCACTCAAGATCGCCCCAAGATCGCCCACGAGGTCTCCAAGATGGCCCCATGACGGCCCAAGAGGCCCCCAAGACGGCCCCAAGAGGGTCCCAAGAGGCCCCCAAGACGGCCAAGATGGCCTCCAAGACGGCCAAGATGGCCCAAGATGGCCTCCAAGATGGCCTCTAAGTCCGCCCAAGAGAGGAGGAGATGCCTCCAAGTCCGCCCAAGAAACCTCCAAGACGGCCCAAGACGGCCCAAGAGGCGCCCAAGAGGCCTCCAAGACGGCCCAGGAGGCCTCCGAGAGGTCCTCCAGGAGGGCCCGAAGATGCCAAAATCATTGAGGTTCCTTTGGTGTTTGAAGGATCTTGGGGTTTGCTCCTCTTCGGCTTCCCGACGACCCAAGAGGCCCCCAAGATCGCCCCCAGCGCCCAAGAGGCCTCCAAGATGGCCTCAGGACTGCCCAAGAGGCCCCCAAGACAGCCCCAAGAGGGCACAAAGACAACCCAAGAGGCTCCCGGGACGCCCAAGATGGCCTCTAAGACGGCCCTGGAACACCCCAAGAGGGCCACAAGTCGGCCCAGAGAGGCCCCCCAAACGGCGTCCGACGGCGTCAGACGGACCAGGAGCCCACCAAGATGGCCGAAGCTGGCTCGAAGCTGGCCCAAGACGGCCCAAGAGGCCTCCAAGAGGGCCTCCCGGAAGGCCAAAAACGGTGTTTTGTGTTCACAGGTCATTGACAGTGTTTGGCATCTGACTCTTTTCGGCCAACACGGCCCAAGAGGCCCCCAAGATGGCCCACAGATCGCCCAAGAGGCCTCCAAGATGGCCCCAGCACGGCCCAAGAGGCCCCCAAGACGGCCCAGGAGGCGCTTACAACGCCCGAGATGGCCTCCAAGACGGCCCCGGAACATTCCAAGAGGACTCCACGTTGGCCCAGAGGGGCCCCCCCAAACGGCTTCCGACGGCGTCGGACGGGCCAGGAGCCCACCAAAACGACCCAAGATGGCCCAAAACGGCCCACAAAACGACCCAAAACGACCCAGGAAGGTGGCCCTAAGATGGCCCAAGACGGCCCAAGAGGCTGACAAGAGGGCCTCCAGGAAGGCCCGAAAAGGTCAAAATCATTGATTCCCCATGAGTTGTTGAAGGATTGTGGCATTTGCTTTTTTTCTGCCTTCCGACGGCCCGAAACGGTCCAAGTGCACCCAAAGATCGCCCAAGAGGCCCACGACGGCCCCCAGAGGCCCCCAAGACGGCCCAAGACCAAGACGCTCAAGATGGCCTCCAAGACGGCCCAAGAGCCCTCCAAGACGTCCTCCAACAAGGCCCGAAAGGGTCAAAATGGTCTCCAGGCGGCCAAGATGACTTTCAAGATGCCCACGTGTTCCCCGAAGGCTCTCCAAACCGATTCGGGGAACACATGGTCCGATAGCTTGGCAGATCTGGCCTCAACGTTCGGCCACCTAGGCGCTTCCAAAAAGGCAGGGGCGGCGGTGATTCGCTGTAGGCATCTTAGATCCGCCGCCCCCTGATGATTCATCACAGGGGTGCCTGGCGCGCTGGATTTCTTGCTTTCTGGTTTTGGTTTCTTTTCCAAAAGAACTCCCCCTGGAGCTTCGGCCCGTCCCGCAAGCTGCTTGCCTCATCGGCTTCTTCGCTCAAGATGGCCCAAGATGGCCTCCAAGATGGCCTCCAAGACGGCCAAGATGGCCTCCAAGACAGCTGAGATGACCTCAATGCGCCTCCAAGACGGCCCACTATGCACCCAAGACGGCCTAAGATAGCCTCAAGATAGCCCAAGACGGCCTCAGAGGCTTCCAAGAGGCCTCCAAGACGGCCCAAGAGGCCTCCAAGAGGTCCTCCAGAAAGGCCCGAAGAGGCCAACATCATTGATTTCACTAAAGTGTTTGACAGATTTTGGGATTTGCTCCTCTTCGGCGGCCCGACTGCCCGGCCCAAGAGGCCCCCAGGGTCGCCCCAAGATCGCCCTGGAGGCCTCCAAGATGGCCCCATGACGGCCCAAGAGGCCCCCAAGAAGGCCTCAAGAGGGCCCCAAGACGGCCCAATAGGCATCTAAGACGCCCAAGATGGTCTCCAAGACTGCCCTGAAGCGCCCAGGGAAGGCCCCAAGACGGACCAGCGAGGCCCCCAAGACGGCTTCCGACGGCATCAGACGGGCCAGGAAGGCCCTAAGACGGCCAAAGAGGCCCCCAAGACGCTCCCAAATGCCTCCAAGAGGCCCAAGGAGTCCCCCAAGAGACATCAAAAAGGCACCCAGGAAGCTCCCAGGAAGCCCCAAGAGTGCCCCAAGAGGCTCCCAAGAGGCCTCCTCCTCCTCCTCCTCCTCCTCCAAGAGGCTCCCAAGAGGCCTCCTCCTCCGTTTTCCTGGTCCTCCTCCTCCTCCTCCTCCTCCTCCTCCTCCTCCTCCTTCTCCTCCATATCATCCTCCTCAGCCTCCTCCGCCTCCTCCTCCTCATCCTCCTCCCCCAGGTGTTCCCCGAAGGCGTTCAACAACGGCTTGGGGAACATTTAGCCAGATATGTTGGGCAAGCTCTGGCCACAGAGGCGCTTTCCAAAAAGGCAGGGGCCCGCGTCAGACGGGCCAGAAAAGCCTCAAGACGGGCAAAGAGGCCCTCAAGAAACCTTACAGGCCCCCACGAGCCCCAAGGAAGGATGCTCCCGAGAGGCTTACAAAAGACCCTCAGAGAGCTGCCAGGAGTGCCCACAAATGACCCAAGAGGCCCCCAGAAGGTCTATTCATCCTGCTCATCCTCTTCCTCATGTTCCTCTTCTACCTGTTCCTCCCTCTCCTCACTCTCCAATTCCTTATCCACATGTTCCCCGAAGGCGTTCCAAACCGATTCGGGGAACATATGGTCCGATAGCTTGGCCAAGCTCTGACCCAAGTTTCGGCCACATAAGCGTTTTGAGAGATTCCTGGGACGGTCAAACAGGTGTCCAAGGCTTTTCATTTTGCTTCTTTTCCACAGAACTCCCAGTGGCGGTTCGGCCCGTCCCGCGGGAGATGCGTGACAAGTAGTTGCAACGGGTTTTTCGGCGCCAGACGGCTCCACAAAATTTCCCCAAGACGGCCCAAGAGAAACCAAGATGCCTTCAAGCTCGTGCAAGAAGCCTCCGAGACGGCCCAAAATGGCTCCAGAATTGCCCTAAGATTGCCCAAAAGAGCCCCAAGAACCCGCCAAGAGCTCCACCCGGAAGACCCGAACGGACGACATTCATTGATTGTCCTTCGGTGTGGGAAGGTTTGGCATTTTCTTCTTTTCAGCTCTCCGACGGCCGAAGACGGCCCAAGAGGCCTCCAACATCGCCTCAAGAGCGCACTAGAGGCCTCCAAGATGGCCCCATGACAGCCCAAGAGACCCCCGAGAGGGCCCCAACAAGAACCCAAGACGACCAAAAAGGCCGCCAAGTCGCCCAAGATGGTCTCCAAGACGGACAAGATGGCCTCCAAGATGCCTCCGAGACGGCCAAGAAGACCTCCAAGACGGCGAGGACGGCCCGACAATGCACCCAAGACGGCCCCAAATGGCCTGAAGATAGCCTCAGACTGCCCAAAAGGCCCGCCAGAAACATTCAAGACGGCCCAAGAGCCCTCCAAGACGTCCTCCAAGAAACCCGAAAGCTCGGAAACCACCTGGTCCGATAGCTCGCCCGACTCCGTCTTCCCCGAAAGCTTTCGAAATCCACTCGGGGAACGCGTGGCCCGATAGCTTGGCCAATCTCAAACCCAACTTTCGGCCACGCAGGCGTTTCCAAGAAGGCAGGGGGCGGCGGTAATTCGCCGTAGGCGTCTTCGATCCGCCGCCCCCTGGTTGCTTGCCAAAGGGTATAACGTCTCCCGAGCTACTCATGCCCCGCATTGCGCAGGGGTTGGGTACGCCGCCAGGGTATTTGTTTTGTCATCGTTAAGGTTCCCATTAAGCGTTCGGCCGATCGCGCTGGCCCTGCGGAAAAGAAGGTTCCCGTCGGATTTCCACCCCGTAAGGACCCATCAACTTCCCAGATCGTCGGTCTTCCCACGCCCAAGGTGGCCTCCAAGACGGCCAAAATGATCTCCAAGACGACTACGATGGCCACAAGAGAGCCCAAGGTGGTCAAAGATGGCCTCAATACCGCTCAAAACGGCCCAAGAGGCCTCCAAGATAGTCCAGCAGGCCCTGCGGGAAGGCCTGAAGATGCCAAATATTTCTTATGTGTTTGAAGGATTGAAGCGTTTTCTAATCTTTGGCCTTACGACGGCCCAAGACGGCCTTAGATGCTACCAAGATGCGGCCCCAAGTCTTTCAAGACGCCCAAAATGGTTTCCACGACGACTCTGAAGCGCCCCAAGAGGGCCCAAGTCGGCCCAGAGAGGCCCCCAAGACGGCTTCCGGCGGCGTCAGTCGGGCCAGAAACGCCCTCAGACGGTCAAATAATCGCCCAAAGAGCCTTCAAAGGCCCCCAAGAGTCCCAAGGAAGCCCCCAAGATGCCTCCAAGAGAACCACAAGAAGCTCCCAGGAGGCCCCACGATTGCCCGAAGAGGCTCCCAAGAGTGCCCGAAGAGGCTCCCAAGAGTTTTCCTCCTTCTCCTCCTCCTTTCCCCTCCCTCGCCCTTTTTCGTCGTTCTCCACCACGTGTTCCCTAAAATGTTTCCACAACGGCTGGGGGAACACGTGGTCCGATAGCTTGGCCGAACTCTGGCCGCAACGTTCAGCCACGTAGACTCTTCCAAGACGCAGGGGGCGGCGGCAATTCGCCGAAGGCGTCTTCGATCGCCTTGAACACTATGGGTTCGCCTTATCACGTACGTATGTGTGCAGTACTGCGACTTGTGCGGTCTGAAGGGCTTGAGCCACAGTGGCCATGGTTGAGCGAAGGACGCATCTGGCAGCACCCGAGATGTGTAGCGCTCTGGGGCGCCCCGAGAGCGCTCCAACACGCTCTGGTCGGCTGCACGTGGTCATACGTCTTCTGTCGTGCTCGTACGCTTTCTGAAGCGCCTGGAGGTTACCCTGCCTCGGGATGCGTTCCAACAGCTGCGCCTCGCCGAGATCGTGCAGGGGGTGTCCGAACCGTCACGAGCGGCCGCCCCGAAAGCCGAGTGTCCCTTCGCCTGGGTGACTTTCGCGCGCGGGTGCCGTTGGGCGCACAGGGGGCACAACCAAAGCACGCAAGCCGCCACTGCACGCGCGCCAAACCGCTACTGTCGCACCGCACGCAGCGAACGGCACACCGCGCTTCAACGGTCACTTGTGCCTGGGGTCACTCCTGTGCGCAACTGATCTGCAAGGGCGGCTACGGTCGCGCTTCGCGCTGCGCGAAGGGCGAATCATTTCGCGCTCTGGTGCGGCCCCCCGGGGGAAGGAGACGGCCGAGGACGAGGAGGATGTCGGGAATCGTGAATCGCGAGCCACGAATAACTTCGCGCCCTCGTGGTGGCCTTTGAATGTGATATGGTGCGATTTCTCCGCATCCTACGCCTGCCTGATGCTCCCCCATCTCTCACGCCTCTTCCTCCTTATCCTCCTCCTTCGAGCTTCGATCTGTGAACTTTCAATTATCCGAAGAACTGTGGCCCTCGAGCCCCTCCCACCAGGAAGCGCCGGGGAGAGGGGCGAAAAAAAACAAGAGGTGAAACGAACAAGCAAAAACGACCGAACGGCGGACTCGACACCATGGACCAGGTAAGGGAGGGGACGGGCGGCTGTCAGTGGTGGCTGGCGTGAGCCTCCTCCTCCTTCTCCTCATCTTCCTCCTCCTCGTCCTCCTCCTCCTCCTCCTCCTCATTCTCTCCGTGTGAAGCGCCACTGCTTCTGACAAGCTGTCTACTCCCTTCACCGCCGCAACATCCAAACATTGGGCGCGAGACCAGCCCAGGCAAGTGCGCGAGCGCCACATGCGCACGGTGGCCTGGTGGAACAGGGGCACCCTTGGGGCCGCCCCGCTTGATCAGCTGCATCTGCGCGGTGCGGCCCAGCAAGCCTACCTCACCGATCGGCCTGTCCGAATGCGGGCGCGACGAGTTCTGGCAGCCCTTCCAGCTGGAGTTGCCCCAGCAGATGACGCGGCCACTCGCGGGGGACTTCGGGCGATGATCCAGGCTGCGACAGTACTCCTTGCGAGTAAGGGCATGCCCCAGTAGGCCTGCGCCCCCTCGACATCCTGCCGCTCCTCCTGCTGCCCCTCCTGCCTCTGGCCCACCAGCCCCCGCCTTGCCCGCCTTGGGCTCCGGCCCGGGGTGGATCGGCTGCGGGGCGGGCACCGCATAGGAGCGGAAAGCCGTCTGCCACTGCGACCTCGTGAGCTTGTTGCGGTGCCTGACCATGATGTCCGCCATGAAATAGTGGTCGAGCTCATCGAGGAAGTAGGTGCGCAGCATCCGCAGCCACGGCCCCGGGCCCTCGCTGCTGGCGGGGGACGTGCACACGAAGCGGATTGCGGCCCCAGGTTGGGCTTTCGTCGCCCATGAGCTCCAGCACGCGCGCCCTCTTCAAGCGCAGCTCCTCGCACCAGCGGCCTCGGAGCTCCGCCCCTATGCCGAAGATGATGTTGGGCGGCCATGCGTACTCTGCCTCGTCGTTAAGGCTGAGCAAGTGCTCCGCGGCCTTGATCTGCTGGTCGTAATGCTTTTGGCCGTAGAAGCAAGCCCAAGCCCATGACTCCCGCTTGGCGTCCTGGAACCAGCGCTGGGAAGTAGGCGCGTGCCTCGGCCGTGCCTCAAGCGTGTAGTCCTTCGGCGGTGCGTAATTGTCCATGTCGGCCTCCGTCGTCTTCGGCAAGTTAGCGCAGCGGAGGCAATAATCCGGCAAGTGAATATGATCGCGCCCGCCGTGCTGGATAGCCGCAAAGCCGTGCGCGATGCTGTTGGTGATGTTCGTGAGGAACTTGATCGACCGGAAGAGCGGCCTCGAGTTCTGACCCACGGACCCCAGCGCGTGGAACGCGTCCTTGCCCAGCAGCCCCAGGCGCAGCGTGACCGTGTAGAAGTCGCACCCCCTCGCCATGAACGCGAGCTGCTCCTCCGGGCGCCCGATGCTGGCCAGGGTGCCCTTGGCTGCGCCCGCAGACTCCTCCGCGCGCTTATTGGCGCGCCCCAGTTCGCGCACCAAGTTCTGCAGCCCGATGCCGACCTCAGACTCCGGTGACGGCGCGCCCAGGACCCTCTCCTACTGCGGCATTGAGGAAGCCCCCGCATGCCATTCGCGCGGGCGCGTGGCCCGCCCTACGAAGGAGAGTTGTCGGGGCGGCCTGGCGGTCCAAAGTGTGGTCGAGCTAGCCCCCCCTGTCCCGTAGAACGCGCTCGGGTTGACACTGGCCCGCGTCTCCTGCCGAGGGGGTGGCCTCTGGCCAAAGCCGAAAAAGCCCAGGTCCGGCGGAGATCCCACTGGGGACAGCCCAGGCGGTGCCACTGGGCCCGTCTGCCCGCCCCGCGCGGGCCAAGACGGCGCCGTCTCCCTCTGCCCGCCGGCGGGCGCCTCGTGGCCGTCGTAGGGCGCGCGTGCCGGTGGTGGCGCGGGGGGCCCCACAATCCCTCCTGGGGACTGGCCCCTCTCGCCTCCCTCGAGCTCCTTGCTCCATATATCCCGGCATCCTCTGAGAAAACTGACGCCCGCCTCGCTGACGCTTCCCCCGTGCAGCGCGTCGGCTGCCTCGATGAGCTCTGCGAGCAGCTCGCGCCTGCCCGTGCCGCTCTCGGATGAGATGGCCCCTCTGGCTGCCCCGTCCGTGAGTCCGTCGGCGCGCCTGGTGAGGTAGGCCGAGATGAGCGACGACCTCGGATCCTGACTCCTCTGCTCCTCATCCTGCGCCTGAGCCCTCCTCAGCCTCGCGTCGAGGTCCGACTGCGCCTCGCGCCGCGTCGGGGCGGTGCTGTGGCTCCTGGAGCGCGCCCGCTTGGCGAGGTGATGGCGACTGCGGTCCCTGCTGAGCGCTATGGCTGACGCTGGGCTCAGGACATCACCCCGATAGTTCGCGCCGTCGCCGTGGTCCGAGAGCCGCAGCGCTGCGCCCGGGCGCCAGCAGATGGCGGGCGGCTGGGCCCCCGCGAACACGTCGAGCAGGTCCGGCCTTGGGGCTGAAGGCGCCGTCCGGGATGGAGAAGACCAGCTCCAAGCCGACCGCCTCCACGTCCGTCCGCGGGTCGCCGTCGCTGCAGTCCTTGGTCGGGCCGACAAAACGTGCCGGGAAGCTGTGGTACGCGTCCCACTCGTGCGCAGCATCCGCCAAAGAGTCGCGCACGCGCAGCAGCCGCGCCGCCTCAGCCTCAGCCTCAGCGGGGCTGCCCTCGCGGCCCGAGGCCCCTGAAGGGCGGCGAGCCGCGCGATCCTCGTCACTCCTCTCTGGTCTCCTACTGCTTGACCGCCGCTCTCGAGCCTCATCGCCCTGGCGGGGCGTGGCCCAGCGGCTGCGCCAACCCGCCGTCCGATCAGCTGCGTGGGCCGCGCAAAAGGAGAAGCCGTCCTTCTCAGCCACATGGGCGCGATAGCACTGCAAGCGCGCGCACCTCCGCGTCGCCGCCTGGCTCTCGTAGGTGCCCGCGCGGTGAGCGCGCGCCCGGAAGGTGCGGGCACCTCCTTCCTCCTGCATCTCGCGCGCGTCGGAGGCGGCCGCGTCCTCAACCAGCATGAAGACCGGGTCCTGCCTGGCCGTGCCCCTACAGCACTTGGCGCCCTGGACCTGCGTGCCGTCCTTGGTGATGCGCGCCGCCTGATCGGCCTGGGCTCCGACTCGGTCTCTGAGTTGGGGTCCAACTCCTCGGCTTTGCTGGGCGGCTGGACTGGCTTGGGGCGCCCCGACCTCCTCCTGGCACAGCGCCTGAACAGCCTCCAGCCCGCCTTGCCCGCGTCAAGTTCATTCTGAGGGAGTCAGAATCATAGGGTTATAGATCCATAGGGTTTCGGGGATTTGTGTGCCTGTATTCTGTTGGGTACCACTTGGGTTTTGCTTGATGTCCATTGGATTTTGATAGATTGCATGTGGGCTTTGATGGGGATGATGATGTGGACGGTGGTACCGATGGCGAAGGCGACAACGATGATGGTGATGATGCAGGTGGGAGCTGGTGAAGTTGATGACGTTGATGATGGGATGTGGCGATGGTGAGGATCATGATGGTGATGGCAATAGACTCGATGATGACAATGCAGATGGTGATAATCAGGATGGTGGCGGTGCCGATTGGGATGACGACGATGATAATGATGATGGTGATGATGATGATGATGATGGTGTGTTTTTGTTTTCGCAGGCGAGTACTGAATCAGTACAGGTCCATGCCCCAAACCTGGCCGGAGGCACTGTGCCACTCTGCCGCCCCAAATGTATACGCAACCCGCATCAGCCTGGGCGGCAGGAGGCACTGCGCCACTCTGCCACCCAAATGTCTGCATCAGCCTGGACGGCAGCACGTTCTGTTATCATGTAGCCACCTGCGCGCCCACGCCTCGTCTCTTTCTGGCGTCTGTGTGAGCACTCGAAACAGCGGCGATCGATTTGCCCATTTGTTCTGCGGCGGTATCCCAGACGCGCACCTTCCAGGACGGTGCGTCGCGTAAACCAGGGCTGGCGTGAAGCTGGAATTGGTCGTTCAATTGGCCGCAATGCGCATGCCCAACAATAGTGTAAACCAAGCCTGGGATAACAGGTGGCCCATGACCATGGATTCCTGCTGGTGGCGCGGGGTCTGCCGCTGGCGGCGGTAGCGGAAGCTCGGGCGCTGGCGGCGCTAGCGCAGCGCCTGGTACTGGTGGCGCTGGCGCTGGCGCGGGCGCTGGAGGTGCTGGCGCGGCGCCTGCTGGCACTGCCCCTGGCGGTGGCGGTGGTGGTGGCGGCGGCTCCTCAGGAGGGTGGCCTGCCATGGGCCCAGGCTTGGCCTTCGCCTTGGCCTTTGTCTTCGCTTTCTTTTTCTTCAGGCCTG